TTCCCAAGGGCCTGACCCAAATACGCTGTAAGCTGCTGGCCTTGAATCAGCCCTTTAGGGGACCTGAAAGTCTGCCCCTCTGTTTCTTTTCTTGCAGTTATACAGTTATCTGCTTATGTTTCTTTTCGTTATTTTTTATTATTGTTATTTTAGAGAAAGAAAAGCCAACAGGGGGAAAAAAAGATAAATGCATCTGTTAAAAAAAAAAAAGGTACTTTCTCTATTTTCCTTTGTGACTAGATCCAAGCTAACCTCCATCTGCAATATCAATTTGGGTTGGTTTTCCTTCCCTCTGTCTGCAGGGAGAGGTCTCTGTTAGTCAAATGATTATTCTTGGAATAATAAAAACTTGCAGATGGAACCAAGAGCCTGGCTGACACAGACAATGAAACCATGGGACGGCGTGCAGAAAGAAGAGGTCGCTTAGGCTTGCCAAGCTTAGAAATCTCCCTGTCTTTGTGGCTGCTTGCTTTAACCCTCTTGCAGATCAAACCTTTCAAAATTAACCCAGCTGCTGACACGGAATAAAACTGGAGAGCTTGGAAGGAGAACCGTACCTGAAATAACAGTGATGTCTTCTGTGAGAGGAGAAGGTGTGCAGCCTGCAGCTTACAGCCCACGTGTAACAGCTTGTGTAAGGAGGGAGGAGCTGAAGCAGAAACAGGAAAGAAGATACCACCCTGTATTATTCCACAGACACCTAAGATTTGGAGTGAATATTGGCACCTGATGTAATAGCAGAATTACATTAAAGCAACAAACCAAGCTGTCTTTGGGTGCATTTATGACTAAAACTCCCTTAATCATAGGCTTAAGTCCATTACTGCTCAGCAAATTGATATATGCAAGGCATGAAATCAACTGATCCACAAATCCTTTTTACTCCTGAGGGTCCCAAGGGTTTTGCAAGCATTAACAGGACAGAACGTGGCACATCAGAGCAAACATAAAGCCCAATACATGGGTGACCGGCTAAAATATTCTAATGACCTATGACCCTGTGATGTGCTGTCATCTCAGCTCATTTCTAAAGCTGTTGGAGGTGAGAGCTCATGAACCGTATATCACAAGGTCTCATTCAGCCCTGTCTGGGGCTCAGAGATGACGGGTGAGGCTAAAGGAATGAGGTATCTGTTGTGTCTGATTGTATCTAGGCTCTGACCTGTGGAAACAGAACAGGGGGAGGATCTTCTCTTAAATGTAATGATGCTCAAAGTCAAACTCTGATTAACTCTGGTCTGGTCCTGAGGGCTCTTCTGAACATTTTGTCCCCCATCTTTGGATGTTTTAACATGTTTTTAGCTGGGTATCACCTGGAACCAGAAACAAAACACTGCTGAGATGTGAAAACGCAGGGTGGGTCTGGAACGAAAGCCTGGAGTTTAGCTGGGCCTCTTTTCGATGCAGAACAAAGTTTTCTTGTGGGCCAAAATGCCAGAACTGGCTGGCCTAACTGAAGGCCTAAGATAACTTGTTTGGTCTCTCCTTGTCTCAGCTTCCCTGTTAGTAATATGAAGGATGGATTTGGCTAAGAGTTTTGGATAAACTTTGCTGTTTAAATCACTATGGGCTGGTGAAAAGCACAAAGCACACGGAATGCAAGAGTCAGGGGAAAACTCTCTAATTTCTTGCAGAACTTTACCAGAAGGGTGACTTTAACCTATTTATCTCCTGATTTTATTCATAGCTTATTTCACTTCTCCAGGCCAAAAAGTCTCCCCTTGCTCCTGCATTATGGGTACATCTTTTCAGTGTTGGTATCTGAGGCTGTCCCACTGCCCAAACGTGACGGCTTTCTCTTCAGGGCCAGCCACTGCTCTTCTTGTGTTTACAATTTTCCTAATGAATGGGTGAAATTCCTCTAAAGAAAAAACAAGGCCCTGGTGTAAAACATTTCCAGTCTTTCTGATAACACTTTTACACGTGTGGAACAGTATAGATTAGTGAAGCCTTTTGCTCTTGTATTACTCAGAGCCTGATTTATGCAGCTGAATACAAATGAAACCAGAACTGCTTGTGCTGCCTCTTTCTTCCCTCTCCCTCCATCTATCGCTGTATCTACCTATCTGTGTCATCCTTGGAGTAACTAAATACCTTCCCATAAATTCAGTAGCAGATGAGAGGTCCCCAGTGAGTTTTTTAGAGCCTGTGAAGTCAGTGACAGGGTTAAAGTCTTTCTCTGGCCAGGTTCAGGGCTTGGATGTGGGGATTTAATTTACTTCACTTCTCAATGGGATTTTGCTGTGTAAAATCAGCCTGAGCAGTATGGGAGAGCCTCACAGAGAGGATGTGTGCATCCTGAGCATCAAAGAGATTCCTGGGTCCTAAACCAAACTCCCTGCTGTTGGCGGGGTGAAGCTGTGCCTGGTGGTGTGCTTGAGGGCCTCCCACGCCTCTCCGGGATCCTGTTCCCTGGGGAATTTCCACTGCCCTTCCTATTTCTCTCTGGGCTGAATTTCTCAAATTTCAGCTTGGCAAGCTAAACTCCTTAAGCAACAGGAACAGCTTGCTGGGATTGGTGTCGACTTACAGAAAGGTGCTGGGGTAAAAGACCCACATTGTCTGGAGCACTGCAGTCAACAAGGACCGATGCATGAGAGGGGGGCAAGGCAGGGTGGAGGGAGGAAAGAGGAACACGGGCTGATTTTTCTTTCTCTTACTGAAGAATAACACTTGAAGGGCTCGGTTAGGAAAGACATGACCCTGTATGTGTGTGCGGAAAGCAGCACCAAGCCTGGAGATGGAGCCAAGCAGGCCCTGTGGGGTGCAGGCCTGAGAGAGCTGAGCCCTTGCCAGGCCCTGCCTGTGGCCTTTAGGCACATGGCTTGAATTGTTTTGTGACCAAAAGTGTTTACAAAGTCCAGACCTGGCAGATTCTCCACCCCATCATGCTCTGAGATGGGGTTTTGCTTGGTCCCAGCCAGGAGGACATCGGACTCAATACCAAGGGAGATGCTGCTGCACGCAGTTCTCTGGTTTCTGCAATAAATAGATGGTGACTGCATGATTAATTCCCTTCTATATCTATCCCACCTAGCTCTCCATACATTTTCACTCCCACAGCTCCCACAGTCCCTGTATGGATCTGCTTTAAGGCCTGTGTAACTCACGAGTGCACCAAGTTCTCCCAATCTTATGGGCAGCTTCATCGCTGGGTGAGGGCAACCCAAAACGAGCCTAAATTGGGGTGAAGCCAGTGGTGGAGGGATGGAGAAAGCAAAGAAGGGCAATGATGGAAATGGTGTCAGTGCTGGGAGGAGGCAGAGAGGGAGGGGAGATGAAGACCTAAAGCTCTTTCAGCCCTTAGCACCCAGTCCTATGAGAGAAGTTTTGCTCCAGTGACCATTCTAGACCCCAAACAAGAGCAGCCTGGCCTGAATAATGTTTATCCCCTGCCCATCTGGGCTTTTCTCCATGCATGGCTCCAAAAAGCCAATGTACACATCTGGCATGCCCACAGGATGCTGGGGCTGGGTTGGGGGTATCTTTTGCTCCTGCTTTTTTCTGTGGGACTTGATGAGGAAAGGTCAGTAGGGGAATAGCAAGTGATGAGCCAGCGCGGGGGTAAGAAGCATGGATGATGGGGAGTGTTAGGGGAAGTGCAAGGAATTCTTTGGAAACCACAGAATTTTGTGGTTTCACAAGCAAAACATCTTTGTTTGCATTCATCTTGCAAACAACATACGGGTGGCAGTTTCTCTTTTATTCCCAATTTGGTGCCTAGTGGAAGCTCTGGCTCCGTGAAAAGTGTTACTGCCCCTGGTATGCGAGAATGAACTTGTGGTCAAGGTCCAGGCCAAGGAACCCAGCTCCTCCGCCAAGCCCTGGGCTTCAGCCATGCAGCACGGCAACACGCAGCCCTGCAGCTGCAAACGCTGAGCCAAAAAGCTGTTTCTGAGGCCACCAAGTGAGGAATCCAGCTCTGAGGAGCATCAGAAGAGACAGCTTGCTCTTGCCAGTTAGAAATTGCTGAGGAGAGGCTGTAAAAAGAGAAAAAAAATAATATAGTTTATATATATATGTAATATATGTTTATTATATATATAAATATAAACATATGCATATGTTTTTTATATATAATATATATAAACATATGTATGTTTTTTTATATATTTATTTATGTTGTGTGTGTGTATATATATATATATATATATATATATATATGTAATTTTCCTTGTAAGTGAACACTTTTTGTGTTGGAATTCACAACTTTGGGACATCCGCTGGCTGCTCCCCAGCTTGTCCTTTTCCAAAGAGCAGCCAGACGTGCCTGCCTCTCCCCTCCTGCCCAAAAGCCTGGGTGTCTACGTGCACAGCTGGGCTGCAAGGACCAGGCTCAGTGCAGGTCCTCCTTGGCTGAACCCATCCTTCTTCAAAGATGACCTCAGTGCATCATCTGAGCTGGTGTTACCTCCTTTCCAGGAGGTATTCCATGTGGTTTTTAATAATTTCTCCACATGCTTATTATCCTGCATGTATTTTCAGTCCCTATCCCAACTCCTTTGCTATGTGCAGAGTTGCCAACTGCTTTGCACTGCTCCCCCAAATCCCACCTTGGGGTGCACCTTGTGCGAAGCAGCCCTAGGGAACCTACCCTGAAATGCAAGCTGGATTGGGCCTCAGTGGTAAGAGTTTTTAAGGCGTGAGAGGAACATGGAAACCACCTTTCACTCCACAGCTGCTCCAGTTATGTGTGAGGCTATTCTGGAGCTGAGAGGGGTTAATCCACGTAACATCAGAGGCACTGTCTGAAAAGAAAGTGAACTGCTGATGGTGCTGCTGCTGCCAGAGCTTTTGATATCACTTTTAACACATTACTCAAGGTGAAAAAAATAATCTTGGGAGGTAACAAGTGGCTGTGACCAACTGCAGAAGTGTCCTGGAGTGAGCTGAGGGAGCAGCTTTTTTGCATGAAAAAAAAAAAAAAAAAAAAAAAAAAGAAAGTTTCAGGTCCCCACCCTTGAAGGTATGGCTGGAAAACGTGCTTACCCTGAGCAGCCTGGGTCAGGGTGTGAGCTCCTGTTCAGTCCTGAGAAAGCCAAACTGGATGAGTAGGACCACAACAGGCTTCTCCCACACTGGTGTGAACACCTCTGTAGGCTTTGGGGCCCCCAAACCATAGAAGACACCTCACCAGGGGTGCTCAGGCTGCTCCAAGGTGGTTCACAGATGCTGCTCCCTGTGCTTGGGTGGGAAATGTGGCTGTGAGTCAGTGGAGCAAAGACACAATGCACGCAATGGGAAAATATTCAACTCGGTGGCTTTGGCTCAAACAGAGAGCATTTCTCTCATGCCAGGAGCCTCTCAGAGCTGTGTTTAGTAAGCATCTCCTGCCTTATCTTGACATGAGCCTCAGCTTCAGGAAAACAATGCTCGAGGAATGAAGGGAGCATTCAGCCCTGCCAGCAGTCAGTAAATGGGAACTTAGGTGCCCAATTCGGGTCTGAGGATCTCTCTGCCCCCTTTTTGTGGCTCCTGGCCATCTGCAGACTGTACTGGAAGCCCTGCAAAGCATGGAACAAGGAGCCCTTCAGCCTCTCTCCTCAAATGATACCTTATCCCTGGGAGGAGAGCTTCAGATTCTGCTTGGATCAGAGATCAGCAGAACAGATAAAGAGGCTGGGCTTAGAGTCAAGGTCAGAAAACTCTGGTTTTTGTTGCCTTTTTTTTTTTTTTTTTTTTAATAAGCCTTATATTCTCTCTTTACTACCCTGCTCCTTTCCACCCCTCATAGGACAGTTTGATATTACAACTCCTGTTAATTATTCATCACAGCCTACATTTGCCAAGGTAGCTGCGCACGTCATGAACTCCCCTAACCTGCCCAATCTAGCCTTATCGGGTTGTAAATTAGCCACTTGCAAGAACAGAGGCAGTGCTGATGAACGGTGGCCACAACATTTCCTCCTGCAAACTGCTTCAGGATGACTCTGCAACATTTTGAAGCATACATGAACCTTGCTTCTCGTTTTGCTGCAATGGTGCCTGGCGAGGGCATTGCTGTGTCCCAGCAGGGCACGTAAGTTTCCTGGCTCTTTATGTTGGGTTGTTCAACATGGTTTAACTCCACAGGAACCACACGATCCTCACGTGCGTAAAAAGGGGCAACATCACTGATTTCAAGGGATTTACACCAGCAGAAAGCCAGCCCAGACAAACTGAACGATCCTAGCCCCTGAAACAGCTGGGACCAATGGATCTGAGAGGGAAACATCTGGTTTACAGGAAGAAGGTCAAAAGCAGGCTACTAGCCAGGAAAGGAATTTGGGATCATGGTAAAAATATCTGTGAAATGTCTGAACGAACCATAGTTAGGAGCAAAAGAGACAGCAGAGACACGACTGGATTGCATTCCTAGGGCAGCACTGCAGATATTCAGGGCTTGGTGCAAGCTGCTTTGGACCAATCCCACTCAGGAGCCACTCAAAATCCCAGTAGTGTGACGGCACTATAAGGGGTGACCAGCCTCCTCTATCTTTTTCCAAATGTTGGGGTGGAAGATAAAGGGGTTTCAGGATGGTGGGAGAGAGCATCCTTCTGAATCAGATGTGAGCTACAGCCAGCACTGCCAGGAGGGAGATGAGCCATACCCAAGCCAATACCAGGGTAGCCCAGATGCAGCTCCAGTCCACAGGCTCCATTTCACCCATGTGAAACTCTTTGGATGATATCACATTAAAAAATGCAGCAGTATAGTGTCTTGGCTTAAAAGACAGCCTCCTGTGCTGTGGTTATTGCTCCAGCCACATCTTCTGGACCTCTGTGTCCTGACTCCATGCCATCCCAGAGGGATAAGCCAGTGTGGTGCTAGGTTCCCTGCCTCCTGGACCGCTCAGCATCCTTTATTTTGTTTGCTCAGCTGTGGCCTTTTATGAGGGAGTTTCCCTAAAAACAGCATCGGGATGGTGATGGTGGGAATGATTGCCTTTCTGTCTCCTCCCTGGGAAAGATTGCACCTATTTAAAGAAGCAGATAAATAAATACAGGAGTTTTCCTACACATAGGGTGGGTAAATAGGCTGTTATAAAAGCCTTTGGACAACAGAGCAGTTTGATTAAGTGGCCTAATTTGCAGTGTGGAGCACCTGACAACACATTGCATTAGGGACATTATGTAGGCAGACAACAAGCCGAGCACCTCACTGCTCCCATCCTCGCTGTGTGACCGTGGGGATGTGACCTACACCTGGATGCTCTCCTCTGTCCTTCACACCCTCCTTCCCAGGCAGGTCTTTGGAGCTGGGACAACCTTTAATTGGGGTACATCAGGGCTGCTTCCAGCCCAAAGTGACCCATTTTCTCCTTTCTTCTGTTTCCTTCAGACTTTTCAAGGTCATGTTGGGGGTTTTCTCCTGGGATGATGCCTTGCCAGTCAGTGGGACCTTCAGGACCTCCAGGAAGGGTTCTTCTCCCATCCCCTCACCCTGCTTAAAAGAGAAGGGTTACCATGTGTTGTCATAGCTGAGGAAAACATATTTTGGAGAAGGTTCAGGGTGGAAATCCACGCCAGTGATACTTCTCCAGCAGGCAGATGTCCTCACCATGCCTCATGCAGCAAGGTTATCCCCATCCCACGAGTGACTGGAAAAGATGGGCATGGAGATATAAAAGGCAGGAAATCCCTCTGCTAGCACATTCGTACAGATACATTCAGGAAAATATCTGTTAGGCTGAAAAAGTGGAGAGAATGCATCTGTTGGATGGACAAATTGGGAATATTATGTGTAAATATTATTTTGAATTCCCCACCCCTTTCACAGAATCACAAAATATCCTGAGCTGGAAGGGATGTGCAAGGGTCATCGAGTGCTTATCCTTTATGTCTGTGGGGGATAGCTCCTGAAAATATATCACTGTGGGGAAAATATAATATAATATGAATTATATGAAGTATAATATCACCATGGGAAACAGGACCAAATAGCAGTGTGGATTAGCAGTGCTTTCTCCTTCTGGGAGATATTGCAGCAGGTCAGATGTTCAAGTGCTCAGCTCTCGGGGCTGTGACCTCTTCCAGAAATCTGTCGCCTTGCTCTGGGAGCTCTCCTGGCTCCAGACTGAAAACTTGCCACATATATTTGGGGATTAGAACTTGATGATCTTTAAAGTCCCTTCCAACCCGGGCCATTCTATGAGTTTCTATTAGTGGATAGAGAAAAATAATAAAAAAAAAAAAGCAAAAAACAACAAATGCAGAAACTTCCCAGCCCCACATGGAAGAAAAAGGAGTTTTAAGGAACTTAAGGGTCACCCAAAAAAAGCAATTATCTCGTTGTTCCACTTCTACTTTCATTTCCTAACCTCCTCAGACTTACTTTCGCATGGCTGTTGTGGCCGGCGGTCTGACACATTGCCCACCCCGCAGTCCCTGCCCCAGCAGAGCCCTCCTTGTCTCGAGAAGTTTTCGGGGAAAGTTTCATCCAACTGCTTGGCCGGGCATGCTGCCAGCAAAGCCGTCCCCTCTGGGCCCATCAGAAGAGACCTTGTACTACATTTTCCACTATACTTATCTAATCTTGGCTTGCGTCCATCCAGTGTTTGTGCAGTAATTACCTCACTAGGCAAAACAGTTCCACTGCCTAATTGTCTTCACTTGCAGGAAATCGTGCCTAATAACCAGCTAAATTTAATCTCCTTTCCTTGCTCTAGCCATGGCTGCAAACCCATGCAGCCCTTCTCCCTCCGCCTACGGTTCTATTTGTGAAGCAATCATATGTGGAGTGATCTTTGCCCGGAGAAGTTGTGGATTTATCCAGAAAAGCTGTGAGTTCCCTGCCCCTGTAAGTGTTAAAGGCCAGGCTGGATGGGTTTCGAGAAACCTGGTCTACTAGAAGGTGTCCTTGCCCATGGCAGGGGTTGGAAGTATATGATCTGTAAGGTCCCTTCCAACCCAAACCATTCTATGATTTTATGATTCTGTGATACGGCATTATCTACTCTCATTTCTCTTGGTCAAACACACAAAATAATCTTCTAGGTCTTGTGTGAGTCACAGCCATCATCCTTGAGTCATTTTGCTTAGACCTGTTTGAACTTCTTTCTGCAATCTGCCAGACTGTGTCCAAAACTGAAGAGTGATCAGCTCCCAGGTGCATTGAGTTTGTGGATCAGGCTACCACAAAACAACTTTTTCCTTAAAAAGTAGAGGAATGTAAATAGAACAGATTTTTTTTTTTATTTTTTTTTAATGCTTCACCTTCTAGATCTTGAACCTTGAGAACTTATTTTCAACTTTCTTTGTCTTTTTCGGTTTTAAAAATGCTTTTTTTCTTTATTTTTTTTTATTTTTATTTTTTTTTCCTAAATGTAAGGTAAATGTTTGCAGATGATCACGTGACTCCAGCTGGATCTTTAAATAAAATGTCACGTATTTTTTTTACAGGATGAGCTGGCACTGCTGGGGCACAACACGCTTAAGGGCATAACAGTAATGAGGAGTCATAGTACAGATTCAGATACTCCACATTTCCTTCTGGTCTCCTACAAGCTTAAATCTGCAAATATTTTTGGTGAGTTATCTGGCTTACAGAAGTCAGTAGACATCAGTAAAATTTTCAAGTAGCTTCTCAACTCGAAGGCCTTCTGAAGAGCCTTGAAAATTGCAGCAGAGAAAAGCCAGACTTACCAAATTCATATTTTGGGTTGTAGAAGATCATGGTACTTGGTTGCATCTTGGTACTGGAGAGGAGGAAAGCTGAGGGTCTTGTGAAACAAGAATAAGATAAGGTTGAATTTGCGGTGTGTGTTGTATTGGAATTTAATAAGTAAATTAAGAGGGAAAGTGATCTAAGACATTGGGATGAATTCACATTCAACAGCCTTGAATGAGAAGAGAATGGTGCATTGGGCTCATGGAAAACTTCCACATGAGAAAGGGAGGAGGGAGGAGGTCTGCCCCAGCACCTCTTCCCCTGAGAGCAGATGACCTTTCCCTGCACCCCTCTGCCACTGAGGAGGGCTGCAAAAAATTAAATTAATTTTCACAGTGTCTGATGGAAACTTCACCCCCTCCAGCCTTCTTCCATCCTTTGCACCATAATCCTTTAACCAAGGCTGCTGCTCCTCTCCTGGCCATGACCAAAGGCACCATGTGTCTCTGCAGGGACCACGTATTCAAGTTGCACCCCAAATTTTCCCTGGAGCTTTGCTGCTCAACCTGCTGTGTCCTGCAACACCAGGCACCCCCAGGATCTCCATCTCGAGCTGGGGCTCCATCTTCTGCTCAGCAGAGGGGCAAGAGGTCAGGATTTGGGGTCAATAAAGCATCCTGGTGGGCTCAGGGCTGGCTGAGAGACCAGCTTCTGTTCCTTATCCATCGTAACTGCTCCCATGAGCCCTCACAGATGTGTCCTTTGCCATGGCTCTGCGATGCACACATCCACACGTGTGCACTCACACAAGCTGTGCAGAGAGCCTGCTTTCCAAAAACTCCACATAGCAGCTTCATCTCTGCGCCGATTTCTCCACCACCTCCTTTCCAAGAGGTTTCTAATTACTGTTTTCCAGCTCACAAACACCTGCGACTGGCCCAGCAGGGCCACACGGTGGGAGGGAGTGGGAAGGAAAAGAGCTGTGTGTGTGTGTGTGTGAGCTCACCCAGTTACACCATCCCGGCCGAACCAGTTCCCCCAGTGATTTCCTGCTGGGCTTTTAGCACCTCGGTGTTGGCACATCCCCACGTCTCTCACTGCTGTGCTATCCGTGAGCCCTGCTGGGAAGGAAGGAGGTTTGTCTTCAGCTTGAGAAAGCATGTAGGTGATGCTCGAGCCATCGCGGGTCTGCTTTTGCATTGCAAAAACTTCCTTGGAGGACGTAGCCCTGACCCTTACAACCAAGGATGTCTTTTAGGACGTCTTCAAGGATGTCTTCCAGACACCGCTGGTGTGTACTGACCACTGAGACAGGAGCTGAGTTGATCACCCCCACATTGTTTTGCCCCCAGATCTTCATTCAGGCCCTTTTCACCCATGATTGTGCAGAACTGAGCACAATATTAATTTTATTTTTTTTTCCCCAAACCTCACACCTTCCTGCAATAAAGACTCTGCACATCAATAAAGACGAGGACTAAGGCCATGACGGGTGTGTTATGACCAACCTATGTGCCAGAACATTGTAAAAGGGTGGTTATAAAAAGAAAAGGGGAAGCGCCCAGGTTAACTCCTCCAACCTGCAATGCGTTTGTGATCTTGACTGCTGGTGGAAAGGCCATTTGCTGTTGCAAACCCAGACAAGGTGCACGCTATGTTGAAACCAGGGGAGGAAAGAAACACAGAGCCCTGTGGTTCCCTTCTTGAACAAAGCCGTTTCTTAAGGGCAGGACTGGTCTTTAAAACAGATCTGTGGCTTGTGGAAAATCTGAGTGAGAGTGTGCTGGGAGCTGCAGGGTCCCAGGGAGGAAGCCAGCTCTGAGAGGCCCCCCATTTTTTTTTAGAAAGTAGGGACTTCTGGCTACTTTTCTCTAGCAAAAGTATTCACAACAGCAGACCAATAAAAAAAAAAAAAATCCCCACGACTTTTCCCTACTGGGCAGAAATTTAGTGATCAAAATTTTGGTCCTTTAAAAACCCTTTTGAAGTCAGAGGCCGAGGTTTTGTAGTTGTTTTTTCTAAAGCTCCCTGTAACTGCTGACATATGCTGCACATATGGTTTCAATGTGATTAGACTTCCGATCTGTTTTTTTTTTTTTTTTTTTTTCCTTTAACTTGACAAAGTAGCTGCTCACCAACCCCATTTCCATGAGGAAGGGACGTTTAATATGATTCCCAGAAAGAAAGGAACTTCTGCAGTTTCATTAAACAAATAATATTCTCTCTTTTAAATTTCTTTTCCTCCCTTTGAATTATGTGGGAATTTGCCCAAAGGAGAGGCGCTATGGGTGCTTTACTTCCCCAAATGCCCCCAGGAAAGATTACTCAAGGGTAATTACTCAGACAGATCTCTGGGGAATCACTTGCTTTAGTTAGACACCATTGGATCTGCAAGGTTGAAGCCGTGTTATTCATAGCATGGGACAGGTTTGGAGGCCCCAGTGGTAAATGAGATGTCCCTGCGGGAGGTGCTGCTGGTGGTAGGGGTGGGAGTTCAGCCCCATCTCCCCAGGAGGACATGTGGTCCTCTGCCATCATGCTGTGCCAGAGGAGGTTCAGGTTGGCAATGAGGAGACATTTCTGCTCAGCAAGAGCAGTCAGGCCTTGGGACGGGTTGCCCAGGGAGGTGGGGGAGTCCCCGTCCCTGGGGGTGTTCAAGGAGAGGTTGGACGTGGTGCTTAGGGACAGGGCTTGGTGGGGACATTGGTGGTAGGAGGGTGGTTGGACCAGACAATCTTGGAGGGCTTTTCCAACCCTAATAATTCTATGAAGATCACCTCAGACAGCATAGATCTTCCCTGGGATTTCTTAAATATCACTAATGGGGTTATGGCACATCTGGAACACCTCTGGAGTACCAGCAGCTGACTGGGACCTTCAGATTTTGAAGATCAGTTGAGGTCTGCATGGGTCAACAGCCATCTGCCAATCACAAAAGTTTTCCCTCACCTTTTGGTGCTCAGGCTGAGGACCTGTGTGTCTGCAAAGCTTAGCCCCATGCAGGTTAACAAAGGAGCTGCTGTAGGACAGCAGATTAATGACCAGCCTCCTCTGGTGTCCTGGTGGTTTCCTCCATCTGGAAATCCATCCAGATGAATTCCTCCACCTGGAACTCTAGGATGGCCTGCCCAGAGGGCAGAATCTGTAGCAGGGAGGCAACTCTTGGTCAACAAATTATGCCAATAGTTATGGCACTTGTGAAATTTTTGCTATCACATCTTGCTTCTGCACACCTCTGATCTCTCCCTCTGCCCTGCTAAGGTATTTGCATCTTCGTCATTTCTCATGCCCCTTAAAAATACCCAATCCCACTTTGAACCCTGCTAGCCTTCACAGAGTAGAAGTTCTCGTGTTGCTCCTGTGGCAAATTCTCCAGACTCATCAGACATCCAGGAAAACAAGAAGAAAATGCCACCTACTCTTTCCATGTGTCCCCTATTCAGGCAAACACTCCCAAAGGAGCCCTTTTCGGGAACCTTGTTGTGTAGTAACTGCTCTCTTTAAATGCTGCATCATGCAACCTATTATTTTTTTTCCCTGTATTGAACTTTCCCTTTACCACATGGCTACAACCGGTTGTGAACTTTCCTGACCTGGAGTTTATGAAGTTCATGAGATGCAAGATTAACCCCGGGCTGCTAAGTTTCTAGGCTGAATTCAGCTGATAAAAGCAGAACACAAAATCACTGCTGTGATCACGCTGACAAGATAAAAGTTTATTGTCGGTGAGTTTGTAAACGCTTGCAAAACACTGATGTAATAGAAGAATAAAGGTCATGTTTGGGGTGGTTGTCAGAGAGAAGAAAATGCAGGCTGGAAGTGTACAGAGCTTTTCTGGTAGTCTATAAAGCTATGTGATAGAATGCACTGGCTTAACCACCCTCACCTCCTGGGTGAACAAGAAAAGAAAGCAATGAGTGAGCAAGATTTGCTCTTGAGATTTCCAGTGAAAATACTTCTGGAGTGATCGCGCTGCTTTGTGCAACACCAGCTGCTCTACCAGTCCAACAGGCATTTCTAAACTGGGACACGTGCATGATGAGTTCAGCCTTCCTCTGCACACATTAGAAACTTTTTTTTTTTCTTCTTTCCCTATCTCTTGGAAATAAGCACCTTTTCCCCTTCATTAGCATCACCTCTACCCTACAGTTACGAGGTCGTCTAACTGGTACGAGTCTAATTAAATGCAAGAAGCCTGCTCTTAAAGTCTGCCGCTCTCTCATTAGCCCTAGAGAAGGGCTGGTGCACCCAACATCTTGATTACTTTCTTCAACTATTATCTAGCTGGGTGGGTAATTAATGACACTGCTTTTATTTACTGTTCCATCTCCACTGACCTGGTGCTTTGTGCCCTTTGTTTGCCTTGAACTGCAGTCAGACAACCTAGGTTAGCCTCTGTAAATCTTCACCCCTGCTCTCCTGATACCTCGAATATCGAGACGCCAAGTGGGGTTTAGGTGAAAATTCCCCAAAGGCTCCTTCTCTGGGTGAAAGGAGAGAAGAGGGAGGCTCTGAAGCTTGAACCTTGAGGTGCTAAGGGTTGTTGGGAGAAGGGACACGTGCCCGAGCATCTCCCTGCCAGTGTCTGGGTTGGTGACCTGGCTCAGGACACACAGTCCCACCAGTGGTGTCCTTTGATTTGTTCATTAAACTAACAAAATCAAGGTTTTATTTGGAAACCGCTGTCCTGACCAAGAGTTTGTCTATCCCTGGCCTCGGTGACATACGAGCCCATTAAAGGTTGTTTCATGTGACTGACACAGAGCAACACTTCCCTCCTCACCTGGGAAGAGTTAAGTAAAGAAACAGAATTTGTTTGATAATAAAAAGAGAAATCTCCCATGTTACAGCAAAATTCACTTTTATTGGGTGCTTGGCATGCACAGCAGCTACTTCCTTTCCCTGAGAAGCACCGACTGCTTTCTCCTGACTGCAAGCTAATAAATTCCTGGGTCGGTGACACACACCTCACTATCAAATGCTCATATTTGAAAGGTGACCAGATAACAGTCATAAATGCAGAGTTTTGCTCAAGGCTGCGGCGCTGCAGGTCTGCGTGTGCCGGGTGTTTTTGCTCGGCAGCTCTGTTGATTTAGCGGTAGGACAAGGGCTTTCTCCCTCGCAAAGTTCACGCTGGGAAGTCCTGTTTGTTTAACCATCGGCAGCTATTTCAGGAGAGTTCACCGCCAGTGCATCACCTGAGATCAAACTGCACTCCTCTCCTTTGGAAAGCAAAGGGAAAATTCAGACAAATAGCAAATCTGCAATTAATGATGCTAATTGTCTTTTGGGGTAAAACGCTTCCATTTCACATAGCACATCAGAAGGAACATTTTCCAAAGTAATCGTGTCCGGTTTTGAAGATCCTTTGACCAAGAAAGACCTAAAATGGGACCTAAATGAAACACCAGAGGGTGTCCACAGAAGTCCTGGCCCTGCAGGTGCCTACATCTAGCCCCTCAGATCTGGGGAGCACAAATGGGGTTTGCCCTCAGGTCTGGGTGATACAGATACAAAGCACAGGATCCAAACTCCCTCTGAGGCCACAAAGGGGAGGAATTCAGCTCAAGGGACCCAACTTTTGTAGGATCATAGGGAAATTTGTGCAGGAAGGGACCTCAGGAGATAGCAGTCCAAATCGCTACTCCCTGCAGATATGGGCACAAGCCTGTGGGTACACCCTAAAAATGTCTTTTGAGGTTTTCATGGCTGATATTACCTTCCCCCACTGGCCATCAGGTTGGGATAATCACTGAAGGTCTGAAGCTGTCAAGAACAGTTGGTCGCCAAAATACGTGCCAGAAGCATTCACACCCTCAGGTCTTAAATCTTCCAAGCTTACAGTTGGGTTTCCTACCCTCCCATGGGGTCAGCGGGGATTATCCCAGGGGCAGCCTGTTGTTTTTGCTTCGTCTAAACATCAATCACATGGTGCCGTGAAATGGGGAAATCGCCATCTGATTTATTACCTGGGATCTGCTCATTAAAGGCTCGTCATTTCCAGGAGTCCTCGTGCAAGAAAAGAACAGCTTCCATGGGTTCCCAGGGGAGAAATCATTATTTCCGCAGCCCGTGTAGCATCTCCCTTAAAATCTGGTCGCTGCGCCTCGCAGCCTGGCAGCCGAGGTTACAGCAGATACTTTATTTCAGCCTTGCCAGCTAATTATGTGCTGCAAATGCAGCAAACACCCATGGTCTAACGTTCATTTAATGAAATCTCCCCAGTGGGGACTCGGAGGGGAAAAAGAGAAAATAAAGGGATGGATCTACAATATCTTGTCCTTACGGAGTTGTTAATTTTGCACTGACGACAGCAAAGCACTGCAGTGCCAGAGTGCTCTTTGCTGGTAGACATTATTCACAGTGCAAAATCGTGGTGTTCTTGCAGCATTCAAGGTCCGTTGGGCTTCCTTCATAGCAATGCCCTTGAGGGGAACATTTTTTTTTCCCATGCTTTTGGCAGGTCAGGGGCTGAGGCCACGAAAATTGCCGAGACTCACGTCATCGGGCCTGATGAGGTAAAAGGATTCATTGTGTGAGCAAGCGCTGGTCGGAGAAGGATTTGCAAAATGAAACCCTAACTGACTGCAAATTGCGCTGACCCAGGGTAGGCACGTCCCTGGGATGTGAGAGGGTCACTTGTTGGAAATGCAACGTGAAGAACCTGGAGCTGCATTGGGTTTTAACCCTGGCTTCTGCTGGGCATGGTGAGATGAAATCCGTGTTAAAGGGTCCAGAATTTAGCTAGCCCTGCCTTTTTTTAAAAAAAGAAAAAGAAAAAGAAAAAGAAAAAGAAGAAAAAGATAAAAGAAAAAAGCCAATCTTTATCTGTGCCACCTGGGAGAGGGAACTGAGGGTGATGCCCCTTTTCTCCCTGTGACCACCTCAATTCCTCCCCCTCCTCAGACTGTTCCCATCCTTCAGGTGAGCAGACTGGACACTTCCTTGCGCCCAGTGGATTTTTAATGTGAAGCATCCGTGAAGTGAGAGCAAATCAGGCGATGGTTTCCTACATGTTGACCTCATTAAACAACGGCACATCGTCTGGTTCTGAGCTGGACGTGGTGAATTGTGATGGACCTAACTAGATTTTCAGAAAAAATAAAAACTTTGGACTTCCAAAAGAAATAGGTCATATGTTCCAGCAGTTAATGACTTCTCTGTTGTTTCTGCATCCACCTTCAGGTCAGTGCACCCTTCCCTACTGGATCAATAGTCTTTTTTGGTGCAATCAACTGTCCTTCCTGAACACAACATCCTAGGCTGAACCCTTAAAGAAAAACAGTAGCCAAGGACGTATGGAGATGCTAGATGGGGAATTTAATACCTTTGTCTCCTTTACTTCATAGCTAAATACCTGCTGGCTGGGGCTGGCCAGGGTGGATGTCAACCAAAATCTCGCACCTTTGGCTTCCCAACAAAATGCTGTTGCCGTTCCAGCTTCAGTCTCCGAGGGACCTTCCCAAACTGCTCTACCTCTGCTCGAATCATTAGCTGGAAATTTGGACTCCAGCCCATGAGCACGTAACCCTCCCTGTCGTTCAGGGCTCGACTTGAAGTGAGTGGTTTAATAATCCCGTGTTTAAAGCTTGGGAAGGAGAACGTGACTGTAGGAACGTTGTAGGGATGGTGGGGGCTCGGCAAGGGCCATAATCCTGGAGACAGGAGCCCGTGCTCACGACAAGGACTGAGCACAACAAAGCGGGGTCCAGCTCTGGAGAGGTACTGAAAAAAAGCAGAAAATCCTCTCCCTCATGCTATGAACCCTCCCTGCTCTATCAGTGTTGGTTAAAACAAACACTCCTGCTATAAATGAGGGGCTTCAGTCGCACCACCTTTGAACAGAGAGCTCCTTTGATGTGTGCCTGCGTGCAGTGAGCACTTTCCTTCCACGTGAATGGCTCTTATTTCCCTTCCCTTTCCTCAGCCTCCCTTGTACCATCGCATCCCACACGGCATTTAACCCAGCCAACCTCCTTTGGGTACATTTATTTAGAAAAAGAGCTCCCCTTTACTCCCAGGGGCTGGAGCTCCCTGCCTGGGGTTGCTTTTATACCCAGCCTGGAGAAGGGGCGAGGGGGGACACGGGGAAGGGTTCCCAAGGCTGTCCCAGGTCCCCAAAGCTGTCCTTGCACGATGTGGGGTGAAACACCACAGTCAGGGCAGTGTGGGGCTGAGTCAGCCTCAGTGGCTGTGAAAGGGGAAGAGCCCCAGGTCCTTTGGCTCTGAATAACCTTTTGGGTTGGTGCCCTGGGCAATTTTATTGCAATATCCTCCCAGATCAAGCCCGGATACCAGCAGGAGCCCATCTTCCTGTTTACCATGTGGTTAAACAAGGCCAGGGAGCAAAATGCAAGCATCTAAGGAATTTCAAGGCATTTAAGGCATTTGGAATGCCAACTGTACTGGCAAAAAGCTTCCTCACCCGTGATACCGCATTGTTGTCCAGGGACAGGGTCACAGGAACAGAGATTTTCTGATAGCAGCCAGGAATCTGGGCTCTTCGTTGCTGACCCCTTGTGTTGTCCTGAGCAAGCCACGTTCCAGCTGCTTTGTGGTTTGGTTTTCCCAGCTGCAAAGTGGGGTTCCTGCAGGTGTTCATCCTCAGTTAGAGCCAAGCAAAACCACGACCAGAAGATTTTGATTCCTAAAACCTCAAAAGTGAAGGGCTGCTCCATCTGATGGTCTCTATCCATTTGGAAGACGGATTTTATTTTGTTCAGCTTTGTCTGCATTTTTTTTTCGGTCAGACTTCCAATTTCAATACCCATCCTAAGCACCAGAAAGTACCTCCTTCTGGGATTCAGCTAATGAACATCTCTGTTCTCAGGTCTTGGGAGTAAAGGCAGATTCAGAGAAAAGAATCCTTTGTCAAGTGGATCTCATTTAAAATCACTTATGTATAACAACAGCTTTTTCTAATTGGGGATATATTTGATCTTCTTCATGCTCTGAGTATAGAATTATGTTCTTTGGGAAACTGTAATTTGTTGATGAAGGGGAGCAAATCACTCAAGCTCAACAATAGCTCATTGTAAGGCAGAAAATAATCTGATTTACACAAAGTGATGTTTGTGAATTTATTCTGCACAAAGTGGGCTCATTTGGAAATACTTTTAAGGGATTAAGACCAATGTCTGCCTAAGTGACTTTGGTGCAAATCTGGATTAGTCTTGCCGAAACAGTAGAGCTAATTTTGATCCAGGTTGCTGGAAGGGAGTGGTACTTGGCTCTTCACATAATACGTTTTCTTTGGCTTTTCATATATTAAATTTTCTTTGACACTCTAAGCGCTCAAGAGGCCCATTTCTCCAGATTGCACCGGGGACTGTGGGATCGCCCACAGGGAAACCTGCTTTATAAACCACCTTCTCAGGCTGTCACTTCACAGCTGTCCTAATTCTTCCCATGCGGGTCTCTTGCCGTGGCAGGTCTAGCCACTGGCCTTCAGGGTTGTCATCCAAGGAGCAAATTATCAGAACTTTACTTATCAAAAAATAAAATAAAATAAAATTAAATTAAATTAAAACAAAATAAAAATAAATGAGAGAAAAAGAGAGAGAGATGCCTTTTTTATTGAACATTTTCTTGTCCTCTCTAGTCTCCACCACCTATAAAGATGCCTCAGTCCTCTTCATCTTCCTCATCCTCTTCAGCATGGTGCTAGCACAAGCATCTCTTTTTGCACTTCTCCTGCTCTTGTGGTTTGACTCTAGCAGCATCTAACCCTACTTTGGCTTCTCAGACACATGGGACAAGGCATGGACCTGCCATCTGAGGCACCATGGGCTGAATGTGCATTGATCTTAGCTTTACCCAGGCTGAAGCAAACATGACTTGAAGAGGCATCCAAAAACACATCCTGGGGGGCAGAACATGAACAAAGCCCCTAAAGAAGAGGGGCTGGTGAGGAGATGGGAGGAAAGCACATTCAAAGCTGCTGCAGAGAGGAAGAAATACATGTATACTTCTTGTCTGTGTTGGCAAGAAGCTCAGGGTAGATGCTAGTTTGGACAACTTTGGATGTAAATCTGGTCGCAGAGGGAAAACAGTGTGGCATCGTGCAAGACAGCTGTTGGAGTTAGTGCAATTTAGAAGCTTCCTGGCTTTAAACTGCTGAGAGTCATCAATTAAGGGGCCCTTTTGAGGTTTCCAGCAGTATTCTTCAGTGGGACTCCGTGAGCATACAAAATGCACCAGCCAGCATCTTTCAATCGTGCCCCTTTCCCTGCTTTAACACCCAGAGCATGTGAAGGAAGATTTCGGCCCAATTCCAAAAGAGGAGACACGGTGCCATATTTTAATCCCCTTTCTGCACCACCCCTGGTGCAACTTTTACAGCTTCCCCGGGCTCTTCTGCCCCTTGGGCTCTCCCTTCCAGCCACCTGGTGATCTCCAACCATTCATCTGCCATCAGCCCTTCCCACTTATCCTACAATTTTCCCCTCCCCTTTTCCTTCCCCATTGAACCCAGTGCTTTTTTTTCCTCTGGTTTCTCCTCCAAGCCCGTAATGTTCGCCCCTTTCCCACGCCATTCTCCCTCCTCCCAGCTTCTGTTCCTGCTTGCCTTGGCTTTGGGCGTTCGCAGGCGGAAGGGGAGATGAGGGTTAACTTCCCTCTGAACCTCTCCTTTCCTGCAATTTTTGTTATTTAATCAATGAGGCCAGAGAGGGGCTTTGTCATTACCCTGGCTTGGATCTACCCCTTGGTTTAACCCTTCCACAGGGACAGCTCTCTAGCTCTAATTTACCAATACGTTTTGCTTTTTTTCTCATGGAAAAAAGAGTTGAAAAGTCTGCGCCTCACAGATAGGGGTTGTTAGCAAGCCGGCCAGCAAACTGGAGCAATTCCTGGGCTGGAAATGGCTTTTCCATCAGCTAGCACATCACTTGGTTTTGCAGAACTGGCTCTGGGAAAGCTGCAGCAATACACGCCAGAAAGCCATTGTGTTCGGGACCCTTTTGGTGGAACACAGAGCAGGAAGCAATCGGCCCGAGTTTTGTATAACCACTCAATTTCTCCATTTCCTTTTTTTTTTTAATCCCATAAGGAAACCTCTGTCTTGCATACGTGAGGGAGGGGGAGGAAGAGTATAAATCGCTCGTGTCAAGTTGAGCAGAGACTGCTTCGTCCCAGTGGGAACACATTTCATTTACTCTTTTTTTTTTTTTTTTTTTTTTCTTCTTTTTGCTTGACTAGTATTAAATCTCTTCATCTGGGAGCATCCATTGATATTGGCACCACATGAGAACACCACTCAGCAGCTGGTCATCCCTTGAGGTCCCCTGGGGCATGCCCTAGGAGATCCCTACTTGATCTCAATTGCTTTGGGTTTCAAGTGCTTGGCAAAGGCTTTGCTGGGAAAAGGACACAATTTGGTCAACTCCAGACTTCTTAGCAGATCACTGCTGCAATGCTGGGCTTCTCCTGCCATCGGAGAGAGATGGGAAAAGACGAGGAGATGGTGTGGGTGTTTGTGAGGGAAAGCTGGACTCATGGGTTAGAGGATGGGAGACAGAGGCAATGAATAATGCTGCTGTCTCCATATCTCCCAGAGGTCCTTTTTTTGTTTTGTTTTGTTTTTCCAGAAATGCACCCAAATCTTTCAACCTTGTCCTGAGTCCTATTCAAAACATTTAAAAACCACCGTCAGTTTTCACAGGTATCGATCGCTCCAAGCCCCACATTCACTGTTTTTATCCCCAAAGCCCTGTAGTTCTGGAATCCAGACCTGCACTCTGGGGTTTTGGGACTGATTTCTTCTTGGGGTGCCTTGTGGAACTTGTTCTCTCGAAGGACAGGGGAATGCAGCTGTTTTGGTACCCCACATTTTGTGCATCCTGCTGTGCACTGTGTCCTTGCTGCAGTCAAATCTCTCTGATGCTGATTTGCTGCTCCTGTGCCCATTTCTGTGGCTTCTGGGCTCCACGGTAGGGAGGAACTATTTTCCAAGTGACAAATTCAGCATGATGCATAAATTCCTAGTAAACGGCCCCTGGTGCTGGGAGAGCCATCAGGTTGTATTGACAACGGAAATATTCCCTTGCAAATGGGCTTTCGGGGAAAGTGGAGCATTTGAG